CCCTGGGGCAGCCTGCTCATTCCCAGCTCCCTGTGCCCACCCTGGGGCAGCCTGCTCATTCCCAGCTCCCTGTGCCCACTCTGCAGCTGCCAGGGCTTGCACCAGGAGCCTGCTCTGCTCTCTCTGGGTCAGGTTCTGCCCAGCCTTCTGCTCACTTGCTGCTTCCTTCAGCTGCCCCTGGGTGCCAACAGGTTGGTGCTGGCTCAGGAGTCGCTGCTGGCACAGCCTGAGGGTGCTCCAGCCCAGCAGGAAGGGCAGGACTGCAGCTCACCCTCTGTGAAACGCTGAGCACTTGCCCTCAGAAGAATGAGACAGGGCACCAGCCTCTCTGGCACTGGGCAGCAGTCACTGCTGTCTCTGGGGGCACCCTTAGCAGAATGAGACAGGGCACCAGCCTCTTCTCTGGGACTGGGCAGCAGTCACTGCTGTCTCTGGGGGCACCCCTTCCAACCCTGCTGTGCCCAGGGACCACCCTGACCCCTCAGGTAACAGGCAAAGCAGCATTTCCACAGGCAGCACTGATCCCCTCTGAAAATAGCCCAGATCTGTGAGGATTATTGCTGGGCAGTGATCCATCTTATTGATTAGCCCGTGGTTAATCAGCACCTTAAGCTGAACTCCAGTGCTGTGCTGGGAGTGAGCCCTGCCTGGGAACTGCCACCTCATCAAGCACTGGCTGATGTTCTCAGCACAATGTGCTTGGGGATTTTCTTCCCTAGAAGAATAGTTGGTAGCTGTGGCTCCTGCTCCTTGCTGTGCCCGTGGGGACCACTGAGCAGCCTCCTTGCCTGGTTATAAAATCCATCACGTAATCGCTTATCCTGAAGAGTGATCAAAGTTATTTGTCAGTTCGGTTATGAAACTGTCCAATTATAGAGAGGAGGGAAAAAAATCTCCCAAACAAACCACCCCTTATGTAACTCTCTCCTCTCAGCTGGCAGGAGGCTCTGCAGTTGTGGAGCAGGTTCCAGCAGCAGGCACGGCCTCCACCAAGGCCTGGGGGCTGCAGGAGAGGCTCCTGGGCAGCAGCACGGGCTGGAGAGCAGCAGAGCTTCAAGGACAGTCCCCAGGGATGTGTTAACCCAATTTCTGAGCTCGTCACCAGACACTGCGAAGCTTTTCCAGCTGGGAAGGTCACATCCTGCTTTGTAGGTGGGGAGAGACACTCTGCCTTTGAGGTGGGCACAGCAGCTGCTCGGAAATGGCACAGGAGTTTCTAAAAGAGGAAAAACTTTGAAGGACTGTAAAAATCAACTGCCACTCCTCAAGGTTGTCCAGGAGCCCGGGATGTGCTTGTGATGGCATCAGGGGTCTGCTGCTGGTGTCGAGCAGCACTGGAGGGCTGAGCAAACACCTCAGAGTAGGGACAGGAACACCCAGTGAGTGCCCAGCAACGCTTCCTAACAGCTCCGGGTGTGCCTGGTGCTCTCCTTGGTGTGTTCCTGGTGGGATGGGCACACTGGGGTTACAGCCAGGCTGCTCAGCCCATGCTCACTCCTTCTCCTGTTGTGTTCCAGGCTGACATCAGGTCCAGGGAGTACCTGCGGAGGCAGCCCTGTGCTCCTGTGGAGGGGCTGCAGGCCGTGCCTGCCAGCCCCCAGAGGTGGGTGTGTGGGCAGAGGGCACCTGCTGTGCCACGAGCTGCACTAATGGCATTAAGGGTCCAGGCAGGGTAACCGGGTGAGCTCGTGGGGAGGTGAGGACGTGTGCAGCCTGCAGGAGGTGATTCCTGCTCCCTGTGGCCACGCTGCCTCGCACGCTGTCCTGAGCTGGGCAAGGGCAGCAGGGATTTGCTCTTTTTTCAGCAAAGCCAAACGCCCACAGGTGTGACCTGAGGGGGACAGAAATACCTGCAGGGAGCTGGTTTTGGCCCCAGGCCCTGGGGAGGGTCAGAGTCCTCCTCTCTTACATAAGGTGGGGCGCTGGGTGTCAGTGCAGGGCTAAGCCTGCCCCTGGGCTGCAGGAGCTCAACTCACCAAGTGCCAGTTGTTTGTGCCTGTTGGCTTCTACTTCCTGTAAAACTGCTTCCTATTTTGTCATTTGTGTCCCTGCAGCAAAAACGAGACTGAATCAGAGGATTAGCATGGTGCCAGAAGAAAGTGCAGAGCTTCTCTTCACTGGGTCCTGTCCTGCACAAGGCTGAGTCCTGCTGGGTGCAGGAGCCCAGTGCCACCCTGGGGACAGCTGTGCCAGGCTGTGCCCCACAGCACAGCACCAGCCACTGCTCAGGGACAATCCTTGCAGTGAATTTCTCAGGGTTCCTTTTCCACTACTGTTAAAGTCTGTGTGTAAGCAAAGCTCACGTGTGAGTTTGCAGCACCTCCCTGGAGTCCTTGTGCAGCTGCAGGGCTGGTTTACAGAGGTGCTGAGGCACTGCAGAGGCAGCCTGGGTGTGCCACCGCACCTCCCTTCCCTCTGTTTTTGGAGCAGCTTCCCCTGTCCCTGCAGCCTGGGCTCTCCATTGCCCCTGCACATCATGGGGAGCAGCAGCCCCACTTGCAGCTCTCCTGGAGGAAGGATCATCTCAGGGGAAGGGATGGCAGGAGCCATCACCCATCACCCTCCCAGGGGCATGAGGAGGCCATTCCTGGCACACAGAGAGCTCCAGGTGCCCAAATGCCAGCCTGGACACCTGGCCCAGCCCCAGCTCAGCCTGAGGAGCAGAGCCCAGAGCTTCTGTGCCCAAATCATCCTCAACCCTGGTCCATCCTGCAGGACCAAAGCTGCTCCAAGGTGTGGGGTCCTGGCTGGGGCTGGCAGGTGGTTCCTGACTGTTCTGAAGAGCAGAAGGTGCTCTGGGAGATCCTGGTGTGGCTGTGCAAGATTCCAGCCTGAAGAGGAAGAAGATGGCAGCTTTATGGGGGTGGGGAGGGGCCCTGTGGGCTGTTTCACCTCCATTTTGCATAAATTTGTTGTACAACTCTTGTTCTTTTCTGTCTTGGAGCTGCTGTGGGTGGGGAGGACAAAGCCCAGCCTGTTGTGTCTCTGCTGTGTTGGGTCTGAACCAGGTGGGGAAAGGGGGGAAGTGACAAATCCTGGGGCCAGCAGGGCAGGGCTGGGGACAGGGGAAACAGGGACAGCCATGTCCCCTCCTTGCAAGGACACAGAACCTCCTCTGCCCTGGCCTGAGGGAGCAGGGTGGGACAGCCACAGGCAGCAGGGATCCGTTCATTCCTCATTCCAGCCCCACACAGACAGTGACTTCTGTGGCCATGGGGACAGTGTCCTAACGCCTGTCACAGATTCAGGCACCAGTGACAGGGTGGGCAGGGAACAGCTCCTTCCCGGAGCTCATGGCAGAACACCAGGGAATCACCTGGGTTTCTGATTTGGCCTGTGCTGGGAGGGTCATCCCAAATTCTGAGTGACACCATTGGTTCAGCCCAGGTGTGCTGAATGGGGCTCCTCATTGTGGCTGCAGACTGACCCAGGTGTGCTGAATGAGATTCCTCATTGTGGCTGCAGACTGACCCAGGTGTGCTGAATGGGGCTCCTCATTGTGGGTGCAGGCTGAGCCAGGTGTGCTGAATGGGGCTCCTCATTGTGGGTGCAGGCTGAGCCAGGTGTGCTGAATGGGGCTCCTCATTGTGGGTGCAGACTGACCCAGGTGTGCTGAATTGGGCTCCTCATTTGGCTCTGAGGGGAGCAGCTCCTCCAGTCTGGCCCTGGCAGAGCAGGGGAACCTTCAGAGTGTGGGACTGTGGCTCCTCCTGCCCTGGTGAGTGTCTGGCTTTCATCTCACGTTTAATGTCTGTGGTTTTAATCCCTGATCCATTGGTGATGTTTTTCTGTGTTTCTGGTTGGTATTTGACAATGGGAGCTTTGGGGTGGGCTGGTCAGGGTAGGCTCTGCAGCCAGAGCTGTGGTTTGGGTGGGAGCTGGAGGAATCCACCCCAGCTCAGACAGGACACAAGGCTGTGGCTGCTCAGGGTCTGTCTCTGGGTGCTCCTGCTGGGATCTGGGTGTTTGGATCCATGGAGGGTCCGTGTGCTCAGCCTGTGAGGGACCCAGGGCTGGGGACACTGCTGGGGACTCTGCTGTCCTCGGCTGGCCTGAGCCCCCCCCGCTGCCTCTGCCCGTGGGTGAGGGAAAATCAGGTGAAAAATAAAAAAATACAGCATAAAAACCAGCTCTGCATCACTGCCCCGGCTTCCCTCGGCGTGAGGCCCTGAGCTCCTCCCGAGCCCAGGTGAGCTCAGGTGACTCTGGATGAGTCACCTGGGCAGGGGATGGTGCTGCAGTGTCCTGTGAGCCCTGCTGGGGCTCTGTGCCTTTGGGATGCTCTCCCAGCTGCCCAAACGTGGCAGTTCAGCCCTTCCTAAGGGAAGGGACTAATCTGTGTGTTTGGTGTCTGCTTGTGGCTCTTTGGACACAATAAGGGATTAACTTGGTCTTTATCTAATTGGTTTATAACCCTGGGAAGGGAAAATCGCTTTGTAATGCTCGAAACCTCTTAACAGAAACTCAGAGACTGGAGCTTGAGTGTCCTTCGAAATAAACTCATAGATGGCTTGTCTTTTTTAACTCTCTGTTTGCTGGGAATTGGCTTTTCTGGGTGTACCTTGCTGGAATCAGAGAGCGGTTATTGCTGACTGATTGTGAATCCTCCTGTTATCACCAGGGGGGTTTCTCTCACCGTTTCCACCTGGGCTGGCTGGGTGGAGGTGCTGGGGATGAGCTGTGGGGCAGGGATGGAGCTGGGGCTGCCCAGGGACGGCTCCTGGGTGACAAATGAGGCACAACTGCTTTGGGCTTGGGTTCCTGACTCCCAGGTGCTGAATGGCTCTGCTGCAGCTTCTCTGGATCTGTTCCCCCTGTTGTGTCCTGGAGAGCAGGAAGGAGGATCCCTGCGCCTGCCTTGTTTATCCTGGTCCCAGGAGAGGGAGAGGAGCTGCTCTAGGATGCAGCTCTGTTTGTTCGCTGGTTTCTGAGGCGGCCGTGCCAGGTGCCTGAGGCTGGGTGGGATGAGCTCCCACCTCCGTGTCTGGAGCCTGTGGCAGTGTAGGTGCTGCCTGTGCAGTCTGAGCTCCTGTGACTCAGGGTTTGTATTTTGGGACGCTCCTGGTGAGCACGGGGGAAGCGTTTCACGGGGATTTCCCCCCTCCCTGCCCCCCGTTCCCTTTGGCTCTGTTGGGAGGGTTCAGGAGGGGCTCTTTCGCTCCTGGCTCCCCAAACCAGGCCCAGCGGCAGCTCTGGGTGCTCGCCCTGGCTGTGGAGCTGGGCCCAGCAGCTGAGCCCCTCTCTCCCCCCATTCCCGGAGCCTTTGGTGTGTGTGGGGCTGGCAGGCACAGCTGTGTCCCCTGGACCTCGGAGCATTCCCCAGCTTTGGGCTCTGAATGGGCGCTTTTAGTGCTGCTGCCTCCCTCCCGTGGCAGCTGAGGCCTCTTGGATGTGGTGGCTCCTGGGCAGAGCCGGGTGTGCAGAGGGAGCTGGGAAACGTCATCGCTCCCTTGCAGGGCTTTTGGTTCCTTTTCTTTGTCCTTTTGTCCTTTTTATTTTAATATTCCCCTTCCTTTTGTCCTATAAATAGTTCTCCCCCCAACTGCTCTTCCCGTTGTTGGTGTTGGTTGATCCTCCCTGATCCTCTCACCAGCGCCCCGCCAGCCCCCCCCCCGGCTTTATTTTGAGGCCCCATTAATTAAAAGCAAATGAGTGGAATTTTTCTTGACAAGCAAATTAATAGCAAATGAGATGATTATGAGCTGTGTCATTAGGGTGATGGAGCAGCTTGTGCAGGGCTCAGCCCCAAGCAAGGCGGCAAATCCGAGGGGTAACAGATCTCTCCTGTTGGGGGCTGGATCTGCTCCCTTCCCTTCCCTTTGCTAGCCCAGGAGCCGCTGCTGCTGAGCAGAGCCGGCCCTGAGACCCCTCAGGGGCTGCAGGAGGAGGGGGCAGAGCAGAGGTGCAGGGGGTGGCTGCTCTCGGGGGGGCAGCCCCGGATGCTCTGGGTGTCCCCATGAGCCGGGTCCGTCCATGGGGACACGCTGGGAGCGCCTTGTCCCCACCCCGGATCAGCTTTGGAACCACGAAGCGAGGCTGTGGGAGCAGCCCGTGATGGATTGCTGGGCCGGTTCCCGCCCCGGGGGCTCGGTGCAGGATGTTTCCTTAGGAACGCGCTTTTCTTTCCCTGCTTTCCTTGGCACAGCGTGCCTGTGCCCGCGGAGCCCAGCTGGGCACTGCTCGGAGCTCAGGGCTCTGCTCGTGGGGCTGTGGGGACACCCTGGGGCATTCCCTGCTCTGGGGAGGCACGAGGGGCTCCCCTCAAACAGCTGTCAGACCCCGCTGGCTCCTTCCCCTGTCCCTGTGTCTGTCCCTGAGCCACCCCTTCCCTGTTCCCTGCTTGGCCCCCACAGCAGAGCCAGCCCCCAGGGCCCGTAGAGAGAAAGCGGAGACCCTCTGTGCCATGTGCGGCTGAATAAAACA